AAATGCCAACCTTACAGTGTACAAGACTTGTACACGCCCAATGTTAGAGTACTGCTGTATGCTATTCGGCAATGCAAGGCAGAGTGACACGGCGGCACTAGAGCGCGTTCAATGTGCTTTTACAGGACAGACCCTCGGCTCTACTCAGAGGTTAACATATTCCGAGCGTTGTAAATTGCTGATGTTGGACCCAGTATGGCTGCGTAGAATAAAGAAAAACACATCACTGCTTTTCAAGGTGATTCATACACCTGGATACTCCCCCCAATTACTACACAATAAACGCTACATCATCCATAATAAAAAGTGCACACTTACGATTGCAAAGTCGCGCACCAACAGGCGTACAAACGTTTTCCTCATTAGATATACATTGATCTGGGATCGTCTCTACTGACAATTAGATCATGCACATTTCCTCACATGTATCGTGTACACCTAGATAAGTTTCTCACGGTCCCAAAAGCCATGAATTCTTTCAAGCTGAATATCACGGAGACAGAGATCTATCCGAAGGGATCAAAGGGTATCTAATGAATGTCCGTGATACCACCCGGTCGTACATTAAAAAGCTTCACTGACATCACAGAAGCAAAAAAGATCAAATCTTCATGCCCACTCTTCCAAAACTTATCACTTTCTCCCCTTAGCCAGTCACACCAACCGCAAGGCCTCCAAATCAATATGGTAGATAAAGAGGGAAGTTAAACCGAGTCTTCTTCATTCATCCGAACAATGTTATATTCTTTCCTTACTCTGTCACGCTGACCTCGAAGCTTTTATACGTACATGGAAGTTAAAACAAGTCCTCGTATTCACTCCTTGGACCAGTGTTATATCCTCTCGTTAACTGGCCACACCTATCTCAAGACTTCCATGACCACATAGATGTCTACGAAGAAGGTCAACAGAGCACTCATTCTCTTCTACCCGACGACTGCTACACTATTCCCTTTCAAATAGTTTGCAAAGAGCGATGGTTTCTATTGCTGCCTCTGCCACAGATACGCATGCGCGCGTATCAAGGTACCATTAAGAATAGATGTACTATGTAACTAGTTCTGTGCCTCATTAAACCAGTCCGTCTCCGCTACAGATCCCGAATTATTGGCAGGCGTATTGGCGATTTATAAGAATAGAGGCCCGACACATTCTAATGAATGACCATCTCGAAAATTATATTATTAGCTAACATGCATGACTCCGTTACCTAGGTTTACTCATTGTAGGCTGCAGAACACATTACTACTAACCTGTATCATAGTTCATACGCAATATTTTTGATTTCATAAAAATGATATAACCACGGCGGTCTTCTCTTCTTGTAAATCGTTTAACCTGACCACCGTTCTATCTTTTCAACAAGTCACTTCATCCGAGACTCGTCCAAATACTGCGAAGAAATATTCCAATACACCTGGTTGTTTGGTGTATGCTACATGACGAATCAATCTGGATAAAGCAGTTCTCGAATACATTGCTATGACAGTTTGCACCGCGTGCAGAGTATATGCATTCATATAAAGGACAAAACAGCCACACTGCAATATCTTCGCGAATTACCAATCAACATGTGATTGACACTGCTCCTCTAAAGGGCCTAAGTAACCATATTAAATGATGAGTTCTTTACACGATTTTTCCATTCATTTGTATCATTAACAAATTTGTGAAACCTATGTAAAATTCGATCGCACAAACGAACTGGGCCGTGCCATACACAGTCGAGAAACAAACAAATTAATTTATTTAACAATATGACGGTTGGCGCATTGGTGTCAGAGAAGAATGCAGCATTTGTTGCACATGTCGCAGATACCAGTGACTTGGGGAAGAAGAGTCAGTTTCGCGAAGTTCGACGGCTACTGACCCGAGAGATCCGTCGCATTAAAAACGCATGGTGGACGGAGAACGCGAAGCAGATAGAATGCTACGCCGGACGCTGCAAAAACACAAGGGATTCTCTGACTCCTTGAAGGCAGTGTATCGACCGAAGTTGGAGCCGATGAGGACGTTGATCGATGGTAGCTCAGGCGTTGCCTGCACACAGACTGCAAACATAATGCAGATCTGGCGAAAACACTTTGACTGCCTCTTGAACAAAAGTTCAGAGATAGACTGGACTGTGATGCACGGGTTGTAACAACGCAAGATGAAGACGTGTCTAGCCGACACAAGATGAGACGCAGAGAGCACTTGGTCAGCTGCAAAACGGCAAGTGTGCAAGTGCCGACAGATCCTGTCTGAAGTATTGAAACACGGTGGACCCGCGTTGGGGACTGCGCTGCACCACTTGATGCAACGCGTGTGGATTGAGGAGGAGGTGCCTCCGAAGCTGAAGGATGCCCTTGTGCTACCGCAGTATCAGGACAAACGGATCAAGCGATGCCATCATCTTGCCGAGTTGTGTGGGTAAGGTGACTGCTCAAATCTTGCCCAACCGTCTTGTCAGTTATGTTGTGGAACCAAAGGTGGCGAAAGAACAGCGTGGATTCCGTTCGGGAAGCAGCCCCATCTATGTGATGTTTGCGGCTCGTCAGTTGCAACAGTAATTTAGAGAACGGTATGAACCGTTGTGCTAACTTTACTTGATTTCACCAAACATCTGATACGGCGAACCGCAAGGCATTGTGGCTGGTGTTGGGTAAGTTTAGTTATTCGAGATTTAATTGAATGTCTGCACAGTGGTAGTTGGGCGAGAATGCAGCTGAGTGGACAGACCTCGGATGGTTTTACATTCATCACTGGTGTGAGGTGATGCTGTGTCTTAGCTCCTGCTCTGTTTAATATTTATCTTCTTGTCATGATGGCTTGTGCTTTTGATGCGGCTTGTGCTTACGGTGTTCATGTTGAGCATTATGTTGATGGTGGGTTGTTGAACATCCGTCGTTTCGTCGAGAGTACCCTATGCTGTGAGATAACTATGCCTATGTTGCTGTTTGCTCAAGGCTGTGCGTTCTTTACACACAGCGCGGATGAAATGCAGCACATGACTAGTGCTCTGGCTTCGACAGCGGCCAACTTCAGGCTCACCATCAACACAAGCTAAATTGTCTGCCTCTTTCAGCCTTCACCGGAGGTATAATCTACAATGGTGCCACGAATCAGCATCGATGCTGACGTATTGGAAACCAAATCCAGCTTCTGCTACCTTGGGAGTGTGGTTTCGACTGACCGGCAGATACACAGTGAGTTTCGTGTCCGCGTATCGAAGGCAGCGGCGGCATTCGGAAACTTGGAACAACCATCAGCTTACGGTTGGCACGAAGCTGATGGTGTACAAATTGATGGTGTCCGTTCTTCTATACGGCAGCGAAACATGGACGATGTACCGGCGGGATATGCGATATCTCGAGCGGTTCCCCCAACAGTGTCTTTTAGGGATCCTGCGCATCGATTGTTGTGACATAGTTGCGGACACGGAAGTGTTGCGCCGAAGGGAAAGGTATGCGGTTGTCTGCATACTTTTGTTGAGACACCTGAGATGGCTCGGTCATATGTGGCGTATGATTTCGACGTGGATAAAGAAGCAGCTTTTAGATAGTAAGCGGAGTGTTGGGGAACGACTTGTGCGGAAACCGAAATTACGTTACCAAGACATGATCAAAGTGAGCATATCAGGTGCTGATGTTGACTTCAGACGTTGGGAATCGAAGGCGGTTAAGCGCGTGCAAGGCGTGATGAGATCACGAAGGCCGTTGCCAAAATGCAAGAGAAACGGCTCGTGTATACAGAGGAGCGGCAGTAGCCGATGGATTGTACTCCATCGACGTCTAGCGCATGGTGCTGTAGCACATGCGGTCTCGAGTACAAAGCACATGGTTGATACTAGCTCCAAGAGACAGTTGGTCGTTGCTGGAGGGGACGAGCTGCATGGTCCTCTTGGTCGTGCAAGGCTCGAAGAGTGGTTCCACGCAATCAGTGTGGAGCGGATTACGGTCCAGTCACCACCTTGTATACGCTTGATTCCCGAAATACAGCGTGCATGTGTTTGCCTGTGATGGAGTGTGGGCCGGCTCCGTTTATGAAACGTGGCTCTCATCCGTATGCTTCCCGGTCTTATTTCTTAGGGTTGACCCTGGATATGTGGTGTGTGGATGAGCTGAGCTGCAGCACAAGCCACCCATGGTCCTTTTGTTGGTGCAGGCGTACTGTGACAGGCAAATCCGAAACCGGATGCCGCCAACCGCGTATATATATATATATATATATATATGTATATCGTCTTAGTGAAGACGATGTCCAATCATGCGCGGTGTTTAAAGAAAGCTTTCTGGAGCCGAATTATGGATACGAGCCCAATTATTCAGCGCTGCTACTCATGAGCCATTGTTTCTTAAAAATGAGATGCTTGTAGTTAGGCCTGATTGATCGGATGTTCAAATGCTCTCAAAGCGTGGCAACAAAAGGTCACCATGGTGGTTGAAAATACGGCGTAATCGTCAATGGGATGGGCTAGTTGATAGAAGGAATAGACTGAATTTAACCGCGCATGAACCCGATCTAACTACGATGGAACAACACAGACATATATCTACCAACACCATTCAAGTATCCACAGTGTGTGCTGAAACCGTCGAAATGGAATGGATCGTTAGGCACATGATGGCAAGTGACACATGACCACCCGAAAGGCTCGCACTTCTCTAAATGCTGTCATCTGCCGTATTGAAACAGCAATCCAGTATGCAGCGCATGAGTAACAAGCGAGGGTGTCAGAGGACTCTTCCACATCTATGTCAGCAGCAGTACTCTGGTACATTGTACCGACAATTCATGGTCACGCGACCAACATCGATCGAACGCGGAGTAAGGATACTATGGAATCGTCCGCACCTATGCAGATTAGAAGCAATCACATGTGGACTCCAGAGTGGAACACTGCTATCAATCGTCCGCTGAGTGACACACCCACTCGGCATCGAAGCGTCTTAGAGCTGATGGACAGCGCGAGACAAACATGTAATTGTGGCGAGGTTCAAGAGAAAAGAACAGAAGTCGGTTGAAATCACACAGGTTTTTCGCACAGTGCAGTGCTATCAGAAGCCTGGAGAAGTTATATATAACGGAAAAATCAGTTTCGACAACATAAAGCGAAGTAAACAACTAATATGCACCCAAGCAATGTTCTTCAATTTGGTGTGTACCAAGTGAGCATGTCGCACCCACGGAACTGGAAACCGGGCGGAGTTTGGACTAAAGGGGTACAGAAACCATCGATGGGTTCAGGACTTGGATCAGCGAGACATCGTTCGGTATCTTCATCCACTTGTTTGCGAATCTTCTTGTCTAAATTCTGAAAAACGAAGTGGTACATACAATGAAAACAATATGATGAATATTTTTCACATGTTTAAGGCGGTGTTCAGGATAGGTCAGGTTCATAATTTTATACGTTTCACCTGAAAGGGAAGACAAAATGTCAGCGACTCAAATGTTGAGAACTTCAAGCCGACTCGGGTCGAATGTCACCACCAGAAGCTTAACAAGCGGTATAAGTAACATGATGGATGATGAAAGTTTGCGGTAAGTGTAATTTTCATTAAAAATTAAACGAGTCTTCATAGTCATCAAGAGTTATGCATCAGTGCTTTCCTCGGGTACTCGTTGTCAAAAACACTGTAGTGACACTGCCAATATTGGTTATTGAGGAGGGAGAAGGTGGGCCTTGTCTACAGTCTAAACCTCATAAACAAAACTCTAGTGGCAAGGTGCTCTAACGCTGATGCAAAGTCAAATGCGATAATGATGTTAGCGATATTCACGTTTGACGAATTCGGTGGGCTGTAGATACAGAGGAGCAGTATGCAGGAGGAGGCACCTGCAACTGACAGCCAAATGGATTCAGGGACATGTTTCAGTTGTGAGTTGTCTATACTTTCAGCGGTAAAAGTTTTGTGTACGTAGATGATACACTCTCTACCTTTTCTGGTGCAGCGATGTTTTCGAAACATGTGATAGTCTGGAATCATCAGAGTCAAATGTATCAGAGGAACACCTGGTTTTAGTGACAAGCATAGCTGGTGAATGAACTGTGAAAGTGTGTTTAAAAAAATGAAGTTTGTTGATCGCGTATTTAGCATTAAGCAGAAGCACTGCGAATATACTATGTATTGGGGAATTGACGCTGACCGTTGAATGATGGCCTAAGTGTTTGGGTTCGAGCATGGTGCACAGAGTAGGTAAGTGCGACAATGGTGCGTCGGCATTAGTTACTAACAAGTTTGGGGTGTGGACAGCATGTCACGTGTGAATGGTGAGTCCGCTGGGGGCCCGAGGCATCAAGCTTAGACTGCAATTGGCTTTGCACTGGACTAGCCTTGCCATATTGACAAATTGGATGAAGTGTGCCAGAACCAGAGGGCTGAGACAAAGGGGAAAGATAATGTTTCCTGTGGTGAAATACACAAATTGGAATCAAGTTGCTCTCAATTCACACAGCTAAACTGCTTACAGGAGGATTTACACAACTGTGCGTTTTATCATTGACAGATGTTGGTAACAATGACCATACACCTGAAGTTGTCACCGGTTACATGCATAAGGCAGACACAAAAAGCGGAGCTCTGACATTTGTTGTGTTTTCTACATGCAGTTGCTACTAATCGTGGATTATTATACACCGTGCGATGTATCTTTGTGTGATCCATCCACGGCTGGAAAGAGTTTAGGATACCTAACGGTTTTTGTGAAAACTGTGCAAACCTTTAAGTAAGGAACACAGTTAAAGTTAGGTGCACAAATTCATCACTTTGAAACTGACAAGGCTAATAGCAGTTTCAACTGCAAGTGTACTCTGAGAGCTCCCTAATAATCCCAAATTCAACGCATTTGGCTGCTGTACAAGGCAGAGATTAGAAAAATTGCTACTATCCATAACGGCCACTGCTGCATCGTTTGCAACTGAACTGAGACCAAGTACGCATGAAACATCCGAATCGTGCATTCACCGCTAAAAGATGAATACGCACTCGTGTACGCCTCATGGGTTCATCCGTGACTTATCTCGTCGTCCACACTGGACGCGTGATAAGAAAACACCGCCGGACCCACACCGGCATCCGCCAGATCAATGTGTCTGAATACGCTATCCTAGCCCCAGTGAGTTACGTTTCACGGAGGATAATTAAACTTTCCTCACCTACATTGTTCCGTTAAATGCAAACACCTGACTTAGCGCAAAGGCAATTGACCAACCAGACATCGCGTGACGATCCAATGAAAGTGAACGAATCACATAGCAGAAGGCGGATATTAGGAAAAACGGTGAGCACTTCGCCTGCATCCCTAATTCCTCTCCTTCGACTACACATCCCTGTTTCGATTCTATCTCTTTATACACTATACTCATTGTTGTATATTCATTCTCATAATTAATAAGTTGTATCTTCACAAGCTAATTCATGTTAGAGCCACATTCCGCATACTGTCAGCACTATCCCTTAGTATGTTATAAGTATCAGCTCTAAAGCTATTGCAGTAGTACGACTCCAACAATATCTAACCGTACTCGATAAACAAAGGGTTGTGTATCCTCCATTTGGCTAATAAAAGAAGAACAAATAAAACAAAAATGAAAACACAGGACAAGTGCAATGGAAACAATGTCCCTACAAGAGTTAGTCTCAATAAAAATCTGGATGATTAGGGTAGTTCTCTTAAGCTGCAAATATCTGAAGTGAAACTGACACTGGCCGGCATCGAGCCCTTTAAGGACTATCTATTTGCATTAGAATACATCAACAACTCATCGGAGAAGCCTGATCCAGTCCAAATGAAAAAAGTGGAACAACTTATTGCCTGTGTGACATCCGAAGCCCATGAACGAACGTGTAGGTTGAAAAACGCTACAGTTCGCAATATTTCTGATGCGGTTCGTTTAGACAAAGTAAAAGCAATATTGCTGAATGCATGAAACATGTCTGAGATCGAGTGCAAGTGTATACATCTGAGAAAACAAACACCCCTGTAAAAGTCTTCGCTTGCGTCCGCATCACGAACACTAAAAGTAGACACCGTGCAATCCTGATTCGAGAATAAAGACACGGGAAACAAACCAAACCGATGGAGATACCAGCTGCGTGGACTTGGACCTTGACAACAAGCATACTGAGGTGGCGACTTCGAGTGTACATGCGTCTGATCCCATCAGAACACCGGTAAACAGAAGAACTATCAGAAGTGCTTCGACCATTGATATCAACGGACCAAATGTCCCATCAACAAGATCCTCCCTAAGATTCCAGAGTGAGAAACAAACATTAGTAAAGAGGTCGATTATCAGAAAAATGATTGACAATGCAACATAAGGCCTATCCTTAAGTGAGTAACGAATAGCTGTCACCGACCGATGAAGCGACCAGGAGGACGACGATGACGAGAAAGGATCTTAAAATACAAAATGTAAGGTTTCCTCTGAAAAAGCTATCGCCACAGAACCGTTAATTATATCCACAAACTGGGTGAATCGGGAAAAAATTCTCTCTAGGACAATCCTGTGTATCTCAAAGTAGCAAGAAGAAAAAACGTTCTAACAGGTATTCCAAGTATTCTCGTCAGCTATTTAGATACAATCCGTGAAAGTATCGCGTCGTGCACAAAACTAAGCGAAGTACAATGTCTTTTAAAGCAGTTAGTTCCCTTCAGAAATTTGAAAAGCACGGTAAGAAGACGAAAACTGGTAGATGCATGCATTTCGTATTGTCTCCTCAGTACCATTAACAATAACCGGTATGCAACTATATACTTAAATATGTGTGTGACCGAATAAGCATGGGGTGCAAAATGAATGACGGAAGTTTCACCCCTATGTCCACGGCAGTCTTAAGCTGATAAATAATTGCTTTTGAACACACAGGGCCGGCTTCATCCGGCTTATCGCAACGGCCTCGGCGAAACGGAGGAAGCGGGGATTAGGGTGACGTAATACAAGTGTGAACGCTGATCCAAGCTCTATCCGGTGACGCGTAGTCAGTAGGTGTTTACCTATTGAGGAAGCTGGCGGCTTGCGCAAGCACGGAACTTCAGTGGGACAGGGATGCTGGTCAATTTCACGTTGAACCCACCTTGGCACATGTTCCTTTATTCGGGAAGTCAAAGACCGATTGGTTCTGCCTATGTAACTGTTTCCGCAGTCGCACACGAATTTGTATATGCAGTGTGAGTTGGCCCCTATCGGTTGAGCTTCCTTCGTTGGAGGCACCGGCAAGTTACAGGGATGAAGCCGGCCCTGTGTGTTCAAAAGCAATTATTTATCAGCTTAAGACTGCCGTGGACATAGGGGTGAAACTTCCGTCATTCATTTTGCACCCCATGCTTATTCGGTCACACACATATTTAAGTATATAGTTGCATACCGGTTATTGTTAATGGTACTGAGGAGACAATACGAAATGCATGCATCTACCAGTTTTCGTCTTCTTACCGTGCTTTTCAAAAGTACAAGGTCACTCGGTTCAAAGAGAAAACGACCAGTAACCTTAACAAGGTAAGACGAGGCTGGCCTTGAGTCCCGTCATTTTGCACAAATTGAGATTCCGCCGCCGAATAGCTGAAGCCTCGGCAAACTAAAACGATCTGACATTCCTCTGCAGGGTAATTAGTTCAAACGAGGGCGTCGGCAGGTAGTGCATTCCAAAATGTGTTGCGCAATAGAGCTAGCCGACAGTTTCGGACCGTTGACGACCATCTTAGATTGAATATACTCTGAAATCCCAGTGGACAACCTCCAAAGCTAGAGTATGGCTCTCCCGCGTATTGTCCTATCACCAGGGGTGGGGTAGAGAAGATTGAGCGAGTGCAGCATATAGCCACCAGGCTGGTGTGCCGTACGAAGACCTGTGTAAAAAACTAGGGCTGTACACCCTAGCTTATCGTCGAATGCGGGTTGACCTCATCATGACGCACCGGACATTATATCCGTGAGATTACTTCATGTTGAGACCGCCGCTTTATCGGCGCACATCAAGAGCACACGGTACAAACTAGTTGTATCGGATTTTAAGCGGGTCGCTCACCAATTCTGTTTCGAACGCAGAGTGGTGAATGTATGGAACGGTTTGCCGCAGCACGTAGTTGAGGTAAATTCGGTGTCGGAATATAAGAAGTTCATGGACAAACCCTTTGCCGACGCAAAATATATTGAGCGCAACACAACATAACGGGTCTTTGTCTCTGAATGACATTAGATGCACCTACACTGAGCAAACTCTACTTGCTGTTTCCAACCAGTAATCCTCTCAGTTCGGCCAGCGTACATGTTACTACAAGTACAGTGGAAGAGATAAACAATGGATGCGGGAACATGAGGTTGGATTTAAAGAGTAACTTCCTATCTTGATGCAATAACACTAGTTCGGCCGGGTAATAACATTTCTCTACTGGCTGGCGGAGGCGGTGCTGGAATCTTCATTTTGATCCCTTCTGAATGGCAGCGTAATGAACATTTTTCTTGGAGTCATATATCAAACACTTCTTACTATTTTCTGCGTTCGCATACCGAAGTATGAGTTTCACGGGCTATCCATTTTACTGGAGCATTGATGACACGCGTATTAGGTTAATGTCGAGGGTATCCTTAGAACAAATTATGCGAGCTCTTACGAAAGCAGAGCGGATCCAATGCTCGGTAGTAATTTATAGGACAGAAAGTGTAGAAGTTTAAATATTGTCCTATCTAAATGGTCAGATGTACATCTAAGAATTAGGTGTTATCCACCTCGCCTTCCATTGTGAACTTGATCGCAGGGTGGCGTTTATTTAGAACTTCAAGTAAGCATTCTGTCTGTTGAGCGTTATCAATCACACCGAAAGTGCCGTCAAGGTAGCTACTGTACAGGTACACCTTTTGTAGGTAAGAACGTAATTTCACGTGCTCCAAGTAACTCATGAAAATATCAGCCAGGACTGACCCAAATGGACTACTCATGGTCACACCATCGATCTGGCGGTATATCAATCTGTTGAATTAGAACTTGGTGCACAGGCGGAGTAAGGACTTGAAGTGGTGCGCTGGAAACACAACTTTATCCGCATAAGCACCGATGATGTCTAACGTCGCTTCCAAGGGGACATTGGTGAACAGTGAGCACACATTATATGAGACCATGTATTTCCCAGGTAGGTTTAAACCTCGTACTTTGTCGATAAATTCAAACGTATCTTCGATCGTAAACCAGGCTAGCTCACGTCAAATAGGTTCGATCAGCGCGGTTAGCCAGAGTTCCAGCTAATGATATGGCGCGATAACCATTGATAAGATTGCACGCATAGGAATATCCTCCTTGTGTGTCATCGGTAAACCATACATAAGAGGAAGTCGAACCTCATATGGACGCAGCTGTATCATGGTTTTCTCATCAATCAATCCAGCCTTCAGAAGCTTTTTAGTTTATGAACTATGGATCTTTCGACGTGTTCGGTACTATCGCGACCCTCTAAGTCGCGAACGAAACGGTTAGTAAGTGCTAGAATCACCTGCATCTTTCGGACATAATCTAGTATTTCCATAATAACCACTACCGATCACCTGTCAGGTAATAATGAAACCTGGAAAACTGGTATCCAAAAGGATTTTGTATGGAATCGCGGAACCCGTGCTTTCGTGGTTCAAATGGTATCTTACAAATTGAACGCAGGTGGTACCGATTCAGGAACACAAATCTGAACCAACAGCAGTCATAAGTAATGCAGTACAGGGTAGCATCCTTGTGCCTATACTGTTTTAGATGTATGTTAACGATATATTTGACGCAGCAAAATTCGGAACACCATATGTGTTTGCCGACGATATTAAAATTGCCTACACTTTTCACAATGCTACCATAAACGAAAATGATAACATAATACAGCTCGACCTCCATGTGTTCGGAACCTAGAGCTGAAAGTGAAGAATTTTATTTGCTATATGTCTTACAAATGAGAGATAACATCTAGCGATCTGACTATTTGTGGTATGTCAATTAATATTTACCATACTGTTTGGGACCAGGGACTAAGATACGCATGCTCGCTCAACTCCTCCGAACAAATAATTTATGTCACTGTAAAGACCAGACAAAGCATTGGAATGTTATATAAAATTTCCAGATTAAAAAATCTATACTCTGTGCACATTCATCACGTTCACGCCTTCTTTTGGAATACTGCTTAATGGAGCACAGTGGCACAAACAGACGCAATCGCATTGTACAATAAAATGAACAACAACCATTTACAAAGCGCTTATTAGGTACCTCATCGAAACCAGATTATTTCGAACGATGTGAGAAACTCGAGCTTGATCCCCTCTGGAGGAGGTGTATGAAGCACAACCTAATCATATTCTATAACATCCTGCATAAGAAAATACATGTTTGCAACCCTAACATGACAGTAATACAAGCCCCATAATAATACAACACACGAAATAAGGAAAATTTTGTAGTGGAATGCAGGTCAAAGACCATCAGATCCGCTAACTGCTTGCTTAACAGATGGACACGAGTCTGGTACAAATAACAATTCGATATACGTGCTTGCGATTCAGAGCAGGAAGTGCACAATAGGACCAGCAAACACTTGACCGTGCGAAATGTAATCCACCTGTTGGGTTGTCACATAACAAATAGCCAAGCATAAGAATAAGGCCCAGGATTTATATGATCCAGAAACCAGTCTGTAACAAAGAGCAGATATTGCAGTGTCTACACACCTACACTCAACATCTTTATCCTCTTTCTTCCTGCTACGCCGAAATGCTAATGACAATGTTATCACCAACAAGTGTATAATGAGAGAGGAAGGCAACCAAACACACATCCATATTCTCATTGTTGATGTGCTTGCTACTTTTATTGCAGTTTACTATTACGTTTAACTATAAGAGGCCCACTTGCTGCCTTCACAACTTAGCTCATGTCTGGTGGGAGCACCGAGTGAGCAATAAGCGCGTTTGGCGAGAAGGTAGAGCGAGTCAACCGCTCAGCACCATTATATCACGCACCCGGACCCGATGGCTGCGACATGTGTTGCGCATGCTAGCACGCCGACTCCCGCGACGTGTATTGTTGGCGCGCCAGGTGTGCGATTGAAAGAGGAGGAGGGGAGGCCAAGCAATGACTTGATCGAAAGATATGCAAACCCACAGCTGGAAGCTGGCGTCGGTTGGTGCATTCTGAACGCCAGTGTAGGGTCCTAAGGGAAAATGAACACGTTAGGATGGACATACGTGCTGATATGGCGAAAAGCCGGCCCCAACGGCGTTTGTGTTGTGAGTTTCTTTGTCCATCCACCTCCCATTCAGATACCCCCTCCAATTCTGATATCACATGAAACGTATAACACAATATTTAACATCATATTCCTTGCTTTGGAATCTTCTTGTGCTGTAATTTTTTTTATCATTTTATATTCTTGTAATGTGGCACATTAGCTAAGTTGTGGTTCGCACCCTCAACTAAAGTGTAATGATGATCATGGGTGCCACTGCCAGCATTCGATACTACTAGACAGCTTTGAACAAAGCAACCATCCCAATGTGTGTAAAGAAAAGTGACATCGTGTTATACATTTCTGTACATTTCTGTACTCAAATCCTCAAGAGACATACCAATCCCGAAGTGGACATACTGGGTAACATCAGGTAACAGGCTGAAATTATAAACAAATTTTAAAACCTATCAAAATTGAAAAGTGATTTTCATTACGGTTGTACATTCTTCGATTATTTGTGGTCGTTGAACTAGGAAATGCTTTTAATTACCTGAACACGCCGTCACAGGCTTGTCACGTCGGAAACAAAGATACATACTACACGTGAGTAGCCGGATTGTAGTAGTTAGTTTTCAAAGGTTTTCATCCCAGTAGTTCACAAATTACAGCACAGCCTAGTCCGGAAAAGCACCAGACGCGTTTCGCACTATCGGGGCTCGTCAGTGACGCGCATTTCTTCGTTTCCCTAATGGGGATCGAAGCCATGACCGCTAGAGGCAGATGCCAACTAGCCCACAGCTTAAGCCGTTGAGCCATGGGGGCTGGCTGGACTATATACTTTGCAAGCCCGACCTATCTTCTAGTATCACTGACAGTGGCTAGCCGGAGAGGTCATGACGTCCTCTTTCTAGACGATATATCCATAGCTCAGTCAACGTCCCCTGTGGCTCAGCCGCTTAAGCTCTGGCTAGTTAGGGGATCGAGGGAATGTGTGCCGCTGAAAAGCCCCAATAGGGTGAAACGCGTATGCTGCTTTACCGGACTACGCTGTGCTATGTAGCTTGTGAACTACTGGGATGAACGCCTTAAAAAACTACAAAAACATGTAATTTATTTATCTCGCGCAGAAGCAGAAAATAGGTACAAGTGATGTGATAAAGCAGTCAGCTATATATTCCATCACAAGGCGCTAAATCCACAGGCACCGTTAAAGTGAATGCGGTCATTGTGAATAAGTTCAACGGACTCCTATCACACATTTGAGAAAACGGTTAAAGAGATCCAACCTTGAGCAAAAAATAGTTCAGAGCTTACTTAAGCAAATACACCGAGATAAATGACCGCGGTTTGCCCCTTTCCTAACGACTTCCCGAAGCTTAATTAAACTCAGCCTTAGCAGAAACAGGGTTTTATTCTTCCATATGTGCGCACCAAATTAATATGACCAGGCTATTAACAATCTTCATCGGATTAGATTTCCAAACAAGCGTCACAGAACTTAGATCCATGACACCCACGATTACATAGAATTACACAACCAGGTCCCCTAGGTTTTCGTGGCATGGTTCTACACAGTAAATATACAACTTCCTTCCGTTATTGTCATATGTTTCTCCGCGGCACACCGATTGGTTTGCCACACTTCATCAGATGAGAGGCATGCATTAACTTCTGAATTACTCTAACCCAAGAATTCGATTACTTTATAAGTACACCAAGAAATTTTACTGTGGCGTACAGTGAATGCGGCCGGTCACTCTACCTACTGGCTGAGCCAATAACCACACGGACCAATTATGTCTGTCCACACAGCGCGATCACGCCCCAGCGCACGGGTTGAAATCACCGTTGGAATAGCCGGTCGCCCTCGGCCGATCGCCGTATCAAGGAGGTAGACTGAGTAAAATAACGATCCTTCATGTCATCAGGATAACATGTGGTGGGACCATACGTGCTAAGGAAAGTGGCAAACTTACCTCTTCCAAGTCGTCGACACAGAGTCATCAACCGTGGGCTTATGTCAGTCGGCTATGCTACCAGTTGGTCATTTACGCTGTCTGACAGTGCAAATCCGACCCCATGTTCAAGTAGTACTGAGGTGGTGTACCCCACCCAATAGAACGTGGAACCAGCACCAGTCTCATGCAGCTTCCCTTGGCCAGCAAGCCGAGTCTAGCTGATTGTAGCAATGTCGATGCTGTAGCGCGTGAGCTCTATTACGACCAGCTCAGTGCGTCGATCGGGTCTCATGACTCGTGTTCCGGTTGAGTGGGTGCGCACGTTCTAGCAGCCGATGTTGAGTGGCTTGTCCGGAGGCATACAATTGTTCCGGCGGACACTTTCTCGCGTGGTCACCTGGATGGGAGGAAATAGTTTGTTAGGTGAAACTGGTATGGGAGAGTATGTGTAGGGGAAGAAGAAAGAAGGCAGGCGCTAGCGGTAACATGCTTTCGATTATCCAGCCCGCTGCATCAGTTGATAAGGTGACCATTTCTTCACCATTGCGCGACAGCCGATGTAGCACTCGAATATTTGCTGTGTGATTCTTGGTTGCCAGGGAGTCCACCTCTGAAATGATGTACGTCTCGGGTCATCAGTGAGAGTGTTCGATAAAATATACTTGAGAAAAGCAGCGGGAAATGGGTAATATATACGGTGTTCACAGCTCGCCAACTGCAAGAGCAGTGTCGTGAGCTGAAACAGCCATTTAACTCGTTGTTCGTTGATTTCACCAAGGTATTTGACGCGGTGAACCCTGAAACACTGTTGAAAGTTTAGGGCTTGATCAATTTATTAACTGCCTTTACAGAGGAATGCGCGCCAATGTGCAGCTGTGTGCATAAATCTCGGACAACTAAAATGTTGTCTCTGCTGTAAAACAAGATAGTGTTCTAGGCCCTAACTTTTTTAATATTTGTCAAACCGACATGTTGTCCCTGCCCTTGGTGTATGTGAATACAGTGTCCGCCGCATGCACTGCATCGACTAGGTGAGAAACCCAGTACGTAAGACAACCATCTTGATGCACCTGTTTGCAAACAGCGAAGATAAGTTGAGGCGTATGACCATGGTTCGCGTTTCTACGGAGGCCAAGTTCCAATTCACTGTAAACGCACGCAAGATTGTTTGTCCTATTTCGGCTGCCGATATGAATGGAGTTCGTGAGCTATTTAGAAATCAAGATTGCGAAGAAGTCGTAGAGAATGCATAAAATGTTACCATCTCGGGAGCAGCCTGTCAACAGACCTGTAGATGACCAGCGCGCTGAGCACTAGCGTATCGTACCAAGGCATGAACGGAATCGATTAATGTACCGTGCCTCGGAGGGCTCTATTACTCTTGCAATTGAGGTGATCACAGCGTCTGATTCAGTCAGGAACTTGAAAAGTAGGTGTTGTATCTGTTCAGATTCCTCCGAACATGCCTACTACCAAGTCGCGAAAGCCAGACAACTATAAGAATAAATAGGGAGCCATCTTTGAGCACTTGTGTGATTGGAATGTGACATGCAATCTCAATTAGAGGGCCGTGATTAGCACTGAAGCGAACCTAGGTAAAATCGACCATTAGGACCGCAGCTGAAGCAAATGACGGGTAATGCCCAATTGCCAACAATCTAACTACATCACCAGAACTTTCTTACAGCCTTGGGACACCACTTAAACAAGCAGAAGTACGAGGGGTGTACAAAAAGAAACCGAACTTTTGCTGTATCATCTTTAATGCTCGTTGAACAACATGGTAGGTACTTTCTCCTTCAAAATAGTTCCTTCTAATGGCAATACACCGTTCCCAACGGTACTTCCATTTTAGGAGAGTCTCCTGAAACGCACTTACTGGGATGGCGCGCATGTATCTTGTCACAATGCCTTGAATCTCCTCTATGGTTTGAAAACGACACACTTTCAACGTGGTTTTAAGTTTAAGAAACTGGAAACGTCTGCAGGGGCCAGGTCCGGAGAATGCGGTGGACACAACTGGAGTGTGATGATTTGCTGGATAGCTGTGGACAAGGAGCGATGCGCAAATCGGCGCAATGTCATGATGCAACATACAAGTCTGGATTTCCCACAGTTCAGGTCTCTTGCTGCGCACAACATCCTTCAAACCCGCTAGAATTTGATGGTATGATTCTACGCTGATTTGCACTTTCTCAGCAAGTTCTCGAACAGTTAAAGGACGATTTACACTGATCACATCACTAAAACTCTAGACATGGTCGACGTATGTTAATGTGGAAGGTCGTGCAGGCTTGGGATGGTCACCAACCGGCATTCTGTAGTGTACGAAACACTTAAATCACACATCACTGCGTGTGACTCATACAGTCCTCCTCGCATGCTTGGCTAAGCAACTGAAATGTCTGTAAAAGTTCCGCCAAGTTGGTAACACACACAGGCGTTGTTATTCAAGCTCTTTCATGGTCTCTTGGGCACTAATCAGACGAACAGCTTGTGCACATGCCCACTTCACCGGCTGTAGTTCCCGAACCAAGTCAAAGCAAAATGCAGCAACTAGCAGTTTGTTGTCTAAGAAAAACTCCGGTTGTCGGTTGCCGCACTATTTCAAAAGTTCGGTTTATTTTCGAACGCCCCTCGTATTCTAAGACCTACTGTAGAGTATTGCACCATCATTGAAAGCCAATTAAAAATACAGAATAGCTCTGGAAAGAGTAGATGATTTACCAAGTCTGTCATGGGGCGATACTAAAAACCTGAACTAACATGATCGTTGTTGTCACCTCAGACTGGATCCCCTTCCCATTAATATGATAAATAAATGGCAGCGTCGATCCTGAACTGCAAGAAACCGCTAGTAACCTCGGACTGCAAGCAGTAAAATCCAACTGATATGCTTACTGCGATATAGTAATGTGTGGAATCAAATGCCACTACAGTCATGCACAAGTGTTATGCCATATTCTGAACAGCTTCAAAACTTCTTTCACCAAACCGAATGTGTTAAAGACATTTGGTACACAGTAAACCACAGAATATGGCCTATACAACTTATAAACAGTTAGAAACCTACAGCCATGGGCATGTGTCACCTACTCTCCCCCGCGCATAGTACCATTGACTGCTCACCAGTTTCGAAACGAAGTAAATGCGAAAACAGTGGTACACACATTTGCACTCAATGAATGCACTGTGAGGGATCAGATTGTTGATCAGTGAAAAAAATTCATAAGCTGAAATAGTCGAGAACCAACTCTAAGAACCTTACAACTAGGGAGATGGACGGATAGGCGGAGAACGAAGTCCTCAAGACTGCAAGTGAACCCAGAGACTACCATCCTACAGCGCAGCATCTGTAGCGCCCAAAAATATAACTCTTATCTTTCGTGTACAATTTACTTGTTGACCGATTGTACATTACTCCTTCTTGTTTTAATCTTACAACCGGCTCGACACACAACTGCCTTGTAAGTCCCCGCGCTCACGTGTACGCTCTTGCCTCGCTTCATCCGTCCGTTTCTTGTTCTAGCCCATCGAATACAGTCCGCTGTGTCCGACTTCCATTGCCTTCTGATATCCGCGCTTAATTACGCGCATCGTCTCGGACTAGTATTAACTAGTCCTACAAATTGGTGACCCCGATTCGCACGCGCGAATTCAACATTTTTCTCGTTTGTATTTTTTGGTGAGTTCGTTCCTTTTTCTCGATTATATACCTATATTCATTTGTTTCTTGCGTAATTTTAGTACTTTATCGTATTTTGTTCGTTCTTTATCTTTCGACTCACATTTCGAGAGCGGCATCTGAGTCGTTTCACAGCGTAACCATGCTTACTTTGGCTGTTCCAAGTTTCATGGAACACAGTCCAGAAGTTTGGTTTAAGATATTCGAGATCGAGCTAGAAAATAAGGGCATAACGGCGGACCGTCCAAGGTACAATCAGCTCGTCCCACGCCTTCCTCCGTCGGTAGTGACGCTGATTGAGGACATTCTACTCTGCCCATCGAATGAGGCAAAGTATGAAACGATGAAGCAAGCGATTTTGAAAGAGTTACGACCCAGCGCACGAACACGATTTGAGCAGCTCAATGGTCTCAAGCTTGGAGATCGCAAGCCGTCGGCATTGCTCCGCGAACTTTAGCGCATCGCTGGTCCCTTATTCTTGAGCGAAGAAGGGATAAAGGAGCTGTGGTTTGCACGTCTCCCAGAGCCATTGCCGGTAATGCTGTCCATGTTTATAGATGCACCTTTGAAAGACTTAGCTACCAAGGCAGACGCTGCGTTCGAACGTTTTCCGCAGCAGACGACCATTAACTCCGGTGACGTATTCTCACCGATGAAAGCCGAATCCCATGTTTGTTCCCAGTCGCAGGATAGCAGCAATGAAGACTTCAAAGCAGCGTGTGCCACGGTCAAATGCTGACCACGTTTTGGCTACCGTTCATTGCGGCTCGTCTGTGCCTGCACCGAGTACGTCACGTTCGGCACGAAAGCGCAACATTTTCCTTCCAAGTTCTCAGTCAGATAATGTCAAACCCGCCTTTATGGAAGAAAACCCCTCGCCTACTTCGTCTGGTAGTGCTTCGTGCGACGTTGCAACTCATCGCACCAACTTACATCATCCTAGTCCAGTTCAACCAGACCACGATCGCGGTCTGCAAGCCGTCCCAACCTCTCCCGAATCTAGCCCGCCGCCTCCCACGAGCAACCGCCGTGGTCGGGAGGTGCGTAAGCCCGTTCGCTTCTCCGACTATGTACAGTGTAAATACTTTTAACTTTGTAGATATTGTATATGTTTGCCTCATTTTTGGTCGATTAACGTTTTGAAAACAAACAAAAATATCAAAAACCCCCGAAAAACCTTTTTCGAAAAAATATTCAAAAACCAAAAAATATTTAAACACGCAGCTCATTCGTTTGTGCTTTTTGGCGTTTTCTGCGCGTGTTTTTCTATTTTCTCGTCTTTACATGCCCCAACCCTCCCCTTCGATCGACTGGCCCACACGAGGAATGTTTTCGAGGACCCTGACGCGAACATTGGTCGCTTTTTCGCGGGACGAGGATTGCTTCTCCGCGGGACGAGGATCGCTTCTCCGCGAGACGAGGGTCACTTCTCCGCGGGACGAAGATCGCTTCTTCGCGGGACGAGGATCGCTTCTCCGCGAGACGAGGGTCGTTTTCTTCGTGGGACGAGGGTCGTTATGGCGCGGAGCGGGGTGCGGCGGGGGGAGAGACCACTCCCAAGCGCACCGTTTGGCAGCAGCGGAGGTTGAGGTCCTGTCGGCCTTTTTCTGGGCTAGCCAGTTTTTTTGTAGTCCGACAAGCCCGATCCAACGGCTCGCCGAAATGCACCCTGCCCTGCATTCAATAAATAACAAATCATAAACGGCACAGCG